CCGCCTGCGAGGCCGTGTGGGAAGGCAGCCTGCTCTTCCACCCCTTTCCCAGGAAGCTGTGGACGATCGTCAACAGCAGTCGCTTTGCGTCCATTTGGTGGAATGAGGACGGGACTTGCATAGGCATCAACAGGCCGCTGTTTCAAAAGGAGGTTTTGGACAGGGACGGCCTAGACAAGGTGTTCAAGACAGAATGTATGAAGAGCTTCATCCGCCAGCTTAACCGCTACGGATTCAGCAAAGTGCACCAGGACATGCACACGTCCCTCTGCGTGACCAACCTGTCCACGAAGGAGCGGCCCGCCCACGTCCTGAGCGAGGTAAGGAGGGCGGGGGACGGCGGGGGAGGAGCCCTCTCCAGGGGCTGAGCCGCTGGGCCCGGGGGTGGGGGGCGGGTGCCAACCCCCGGGCCGCCTGGGACGGCGGCAGGCGTGTCGGGAGAGCTTCCTTTAAAGGTGGTACTTGGGGACCTGCGTGACAGCCGGAGCTGGCAGTGCCGCGCGCTGTGTTGGGACGTTGTTATGGGGGGACCCGAAGCGTTCTCAGCACAGGGACGTCACTCCTCTCCCTCCTCCTTTTCCCTTTGGTGTGTCTGTGTGAGGTGATGCGTGTGAACTGGACCCCCTGTGGTGATCATTTCACAGCACACGCGGGCAAGGCGTCATCCTGTACTCCTGACACGTGGGCAGTGCCGCTCGTGCCTGACACGCAGTCACACCGGGGGACAAGAGGACACTGCTGCAACGCTGGCCCTTCCCGTCCTCCTGCTCGGGGACAGTGGCCCGCCGGGGGGAGGGGGGAGGTCTGTGTGCCCCCTTGACTCCCATAGCTCCAGAGCATCACCTGAGTGGGGGCGCAGGTCCCTTCCTGGGAAGCAGTCAGCGTCCCCGGTCTGGCCCCTGGAGGCGCTGGCCAGGGGGCGATTCGGACACTTCCTTAGAAAGCTACCGAACCTTGTTGCAGTCTCGTACCTGCAAACGCCACGTCCCCTTTCGTGGGCCTTGTGCTCATACTAAGGGGCCACGTTCAGTCCTTTTCCAAGGGTGAGAGGTGATGGTGAGTGAGCGAGTCTCGGGGATGTAAACGCTGGGGCCCAGCGTCCTGCTGGGACCGGGTCCCGCTTTCTGCAAAGAGGCCTTGGGTCGGCTGGGGGAGGGCGCCCAGGGGCCCAGCCAGGCGGCTGCTGCTTGCGAGCAGCTCTTTTGTGACTCGGGGTTTCCTTTCCTCTCTCAACTGCGACCTCAGTTACACTTCTACCACAGTCCCCTGTTCCAGAGAGACTGCCCGCACCTCCTGGTGAGGATGCAGCCGAGAGTGCACACTAAACCAGCATCCGGGCAGGTGGACGGCGAGCCGGCAGCCCCGGGGCACCGCCCGGCGCCCAGCGCCGCGGAGCCGCAGCACGGCCTCCCACCGTATCCTGAGCACATCCAGGGGACCCCGAGCTACCCGCAACTCGACCATGCCTCCGCCCTGGCCAGGACTGACTCTGTCGCTCGGGCCCCTCCTCAGACAGCAGCCGAGCCCCCCGCGCCGCATCCCAGCGCGCAGGTTCTGGTCCCTCTAGTCCCTGTCCTGGCAGAGGTGGCCCAGCCAGCCGAGGTCCCCTGGCTCTGCTGCGCCTGGCCTCCCGCCCAGATGAGTCCTCCCTGGCCCGTGCCGGGCCTGGCCGCCGCGCCCCCGCAAGTCCTCAGCCTGCCCCCCCACGCAGCTCCCGGGGTCTGCGCTTTTGCCTCTTGCGCACCCTGGATGCCTGAGGTGGCCGCCAGGCCTGCCGCCTCCCTGACCTTGATCCATCGGCCGCTGAGCCACTTCTACCATCGCTGCGTGGGCTCCCGCTCTTTCCTGGAATACCCGGCCCCTCCAGGCAGGCCCACAGAGGACCCTGACCAGGCAGACCCTGCAGACACACGGAGGTGGTGACGCGGCCAGAACCTTGCAGGGCAATAAAGAGCAC